CTGTAGCTCCTGCTGGGTTGCCTCAGGCAGTAGCTGACTTGCACTTCCTGGGAGATCCAGGAGCTAGTGTACCTAGTGGTCAGTGTGAAATGATACCAGATTTCAGCGCCTCACATCCATAAGTGACACACTCAAGGGGCAGACTTAGAGAGCACCAAAGCCCACTGAAGCAAGCCCTTCCCCATAAGGGTGTTTCCAGCACAGCAGTTCTTCCATTATAGACACAGCAGGTCCTCACAGCCAGTTGGCCTGGAAGTCAATTCCTTTCAGTATACCAACAGCAATCAAGGCTTAACTATAACAATACTGTGCACCCAGCCCACAAAGGGGTGCATCAAGATTGTCCACCTCAGGTGATTGGAGAGGCTGAGCCACTGGGCCCTATAGGTCTCCTAGCACACAAAGCAACTCTATCAATACAGGGAAGCAGCCAAATTGAGGAGACAAAGAAACATGTCACGAAATGAAAGAAATGGAGGAAAGCAAATGGCTGGATATAGAGTTCAAAACCACATTTATAAGGTTACTCAAGAATCTTCTAGAAACCTCCGAGAAATTTAGTGAGACCTTCAAGGATCTTAATGAGAATACCAAAAAAATGGAAAAGGACCACTCAGAAATTAAGCATACAATGTCTGAAATAAAGAATAATATACAAATTTAAAAGTAGACTAGAGGACCCTTAGAATCAAACCAAAAATTTGAAATATGAGGAAACAAAAATCACCCAACCAGAAAAACAAAAAGAAAAAAGAATAAAAAAAATGAAGATAGTGTAAGGAGCCTCTGGGACAACTTCAAGTGTACCAACATCTGAATTATGAAGGTGCCAGAAGAAGAAAGAGAGCAAAATATTGAAAACCTATTAGAAGAAATGATAGAAAACTTTCCTTACCAAATGAAAGAAATAGACCTATAAGTTCAGGAAGCACAGAGTATCCCAAACAAGAGGAATCCAAAGAGGACCACACTAAAACACATCATAACTAAAATGCCAAGGACAGAAGACAAAGGGAGAATCTTTAAAACAGCAAGAGAAAAACAGTTACCTAAAAGGGAGTACCCATACGACTGTCAGCTGATTTCTCAACAGAAACTATGCAGGCCAGAAGGGAGTAGCAAGAAATATTCAAAGTGATGAATAGCAAGAACCTACAACCGAGATTACTCTACACAGCAAAGCTATCATTCAGAATTGAAGATCAGATAAAGATTTTCACAGATAAGATAAAGCTAAAGGAGTTCATCAGAACCAAAACAGGATTATATGAAATGTTGAAGGGTATTCTTTAAGTAGACAAAGAAGAAAAGGTAAAGATAAAAATTGTGAACTATAAAGTGACAACAAATACGTATCTATCAACAAGTGAATCTAAAAATCTAGTGAATAAAAAATCTGAAGAACAGGATAAACTGGTGAATATAATAGAATCAGGGACATAGAAAGGGAGTGGACTGACAATTCTAGGGGGAAGGGGGAGTGAGGGGTGTGGGAAGAGATTGGACAAAAATCTTACACCTATGTATGAGAACAGTGGTGGAGGGTAAGGGCATGGGGTGGGGGTGGGGTTAGGTGGAAGGGAACTATGGAGGGGGGAAAAAGAGGAACATCTGTAATAATCTGAACAATAAAGATTTATTTAAACATTAAAAATAAAAATAAATGAATCAAATGATTTAAATGATGACCCAGTTTAAAAATTGGGAAATGCAAATCAAAGCCACAAATAAGATTCATTTCATACCCACATAGGATGACTGTAAATAGAGGATGAGGGGATAGGTGAAAAAGGTGAAGGGAAATATAGTCAATAAAACTATTGTGATAAGTTTGCACAGTGATAGGTGATTACTAGGAAGAGTGAGATGATCACTTTGAAAGGTATAGAATTGCTATATTGTACACCTGAAATTTATATAGCTAACATAATATTGTATACCAACTATACTTAAATTTAAGTAAGTAAAAAACAAAAAATAAGTGTTGGCAAGGGTATAAAAAAGTTGGAACCCTCATATGTTGCTAGCGCAAAATGTAAAATGGTTCAGCCACTTTGGAAAAACAGTTAGGCACTTCTTCACAAGGTTAAGTCACCATATATATTAGCAATCCCATTCTTAGGTCATTCTGTACCCAAGAGAAATGAAAACATGTATCCATGCAAAAACTTGTACGTGAATGTTCATAGGAACAATATGCACAATAGGAAAAAAAGTGGAAACAACACAAATGTAAATCTGATGAATGGATACATAAAATGTGGCATATTCATACAATGGAATATTATTTGGCAATAAAAATGAATAATGCACTGATACATACTACAACATAGATGAAACCTGAAAACATTATGCCACAGTGAAAGAAGCCAATCACAAAAGACCACCTATTATATAATCCCATTTACATGAAATGTCCAGATTAGGCAAATCCACAGATACAAAGAGTAGATTAGTAGTTGCCTGTAACTGAGTGAGGGAGTTTGGGGGAGGGGAATGGGGATTACTAGCTACCAATGAGTATGGGTTTCTTTTCAGGATGAAAATGTTCCAAAATTTTGGTAATGGTTGCAAAACTCTGAATATACTGAAAACCATTGAATTCTACATATTAAATGGGTAACTTTTGTGGTGAAATATATCTCAACAAAGTAGTGAAATATTAATTAGGGATGCTAATAATATTTCATGATTGTATTGGATTTTTACTAAGCTAAACTAAATAGCCTGCTTCAAGGATTGATCTTTTTTTTTTTTTTTTTTACAGTGAAAAGTGTTATGTGAACCAGCCAGGATTAATAACTTAATAGCATTTCTGTAACTTTAAAGTCAATGTAAAATGGGAGTGTTTGAATAATGGCCAAATTTTCTGGTTCAGATTTGGAGGAAATTTTTCAGTTCAGTCATCCTGTTTCCCAAAGTACTGTACTACAAAGAAAGCAGTGTATGAAAAATGAAGGGTTGGTATTTCTTTTAAAGAGCTAAAAAGATAATTATCATTTCAAATATGAGAGTTTTCATTTATTACTTTCATAGTTGGCTCCTAGGAAAGTGGCATTAGTTGAGGAACTGCCATGTGCCTGATTCTTGTGTTCATTAAATATACCCACAGTACCATCTTGTTTAATCTGTACAATAACCTTATGAAGTCAGCCTTGTTATCTCTCTTTTATAGAGGAGGAAGGTCATATGGCTTTTGAGTGATGAAGCTGGGATTGAAATTTAGGTTTTTAAATTCCACTTTCCAGTACAATCTGGGTTGACTCATGGGGCACTACCTTCATTCTTTGGTCCCATTTCTTTCTTTAAAAAAATTATTTATATATTATTGATGTCAGAGCGGAAAGGAGGAGAGAGAGATAGGAACACCAATGATGAGAGAGAATCATTGGAATCATTGATGGCTACTGCCTGTACACCCCCCACTGGGGATCGAGCCTGCAACCTAGGCATATGCCTTGAATGGTAATCGAACCATGATCTCCTGGTTCGTAGGTTGATGCTCAACTACTAAGCCATGCCTGCTGGGCTGGTCCTATTTCTTGTACTTGTATTCAGAAATATTGTAGAATTCCAGTATGAATCACATTTCTATAGGACAGATTCAGTCTTCAGATCAATCCCCCAGTTTATCCTACCTAATAAAAGAGTAATATGCAAATTAACCACCACTCCCCTCAAGCCACATCCACTAACCACGCCCACCAACCAGTCAGAGTGGGTATGCAAATTAACCCCAACCAAGATGGCTGCAGCCACGGAGAGCAGTTGAGAGGCTTGGGTTTCCCTAGCAATAGAGGAAGCCAAGCTTTCCATACACCCTGGCCAGCCTAGGCCTCCACTCAAGGATACAAAGTTTCAATTATAGAAGATAAATCCCCCCCAAAATAGCTGCAGCCAGGAGCTGGAGAGAGCAGGCTAGGGTTGACCTCGGCATTGGAGAAAGCAAAGCTTTCCACCTGCCCTGGCTGGCCTAGGCCTCCACTCCAGACTACAAAGTTTCAATTATAGAAGATACATAAAACCAAACAGAAATGGTGGCAGCTGGAGTGAGCAGGGGGCTTGGCTCCACTCCAGGCTACAAAGTTTCAATTGTAGAAGGTAAATAAATTCCAGATACCAGGGCCTCTGCTTGGGTTGACAGAGGGCATAGCCAGCCTGCAAACCACCACAGGCTCCTTGCCCAGGCCATCCCATGTCCCAAGGGAACCCCTACCCTGATCCGGGATACCCTTCAGGGCAAACCAGCTACCCCCCCCCCCCCCGCCCCCCCATGCACCAAGCCTCTATCCTATCTAATAAAAGAGTAATATGCAGATTGACCATCACTCCAATACACAAGATGGCTGCCCCCATGTGGTCAAAGATCTTGTTCCCATGTGGACACAAGATGGCCACCACAAGATGGCCAGCAGGGGAGGGCAGTTGGGAGGCACCAAGCCTGTAAGGGAGGGCAGTTGAGAGGAACCAGATCTGCAAGGGAGGGCAGTTGGGGGCAATCAACCCTGCAGGGGAGGGCCGTTAGGAGTGGCTAGGCCAGCAGAGGAGGGAAGTTGGGGGCAAACAGGCTGGCAGGGGAGCAGTTAGACATCAATCAGGCTGGCATGGGAGTGGTTAGGGGGTGATCAGGTGGCAGGCAGAAGCAGTTAGGGGCAATCAGTAAGGCAGGCAGGCAGGCAAGCAGTTGGGAGCCATCAATTCTGGATTGTGAGAGGGGTGTCCAACTGCCCACTGGGACTGGGTCTAAATGGAGTTTAACATCCCTCGAGGGGTCCCAGATTGGAGAGGGTGCAGGCTGGGCTGAGGGACACCCCTCCACCTGTGCACGAATTTTGTACACCTGGCTTCTAGTATATATATATATATATATATATATATATATATATATATATATATGCTTATAATTTTAGTTGTTGTGCATAAAGTAGGTTTCTTCTATCTTATCTGGATATAGGTATGAAAAACTAACAATCTTATTTTTTCTTCTTTCTCTCACATAGCAATGGTGATCTAGATCCCTGGTCAGGAGGTGGAGTAACCAGGAACATCACAGACACCTTGGTTGCCATCATTATTCCAGAGGGGGCCCATCATCTAGATCTCCGAGCCAACAATGCCTTTGACCCCATGACTGTGCTATTAGCCCGCTCCTTGGAAGTTAAATACATGAAGCAGTGGATTAGAGATTTCTATGCTTCTCTAAGGAAGAAGGACTAAGCAACTTTCGATCATTTTCAGTTTCTTTTATGTTCATTCCACCCACATTCCCATTCACTTTGGTTTTCTACACATAACCACTTTCCCTTTTTTATCATTAGATTTGGTGAGGCAAAAGTTGAGATAGAAGAGAGGGTGATGGTGGTGACAGCAGCCACCCCACATCCCAGGTTCTAGCCATCTTTGCCCCTCTTTCAGAAGAAAAATTTTTTGTGTGTGTGACAGCTGTCCCTCACCATCAGTGGCCCTCATAATTGGAGCAGAGTTCCTGACTGCCTTTCACAAGAGTTAGAGTCAGTTCCTTTGTTTCTCTGCAAGCAGGGATTTCTCTTGCTTTTGAGACAAGTCTCTGGCTCATTTATTATTTCACTCCCCTGCCCTCCCAAAAGGAACAGCAGAAAATAGATAAAAATGATGTAATTGCAGCTGATAGGAAGGGTGTCCGTTGCCAATCCTTGATATAAGAGCCATTTCTTTTGTACTTGATTTACAGGTTTTGAACTGTGCTGTAAATAAAGAATAAGGCTGGACCTTATACCTGTGTGTTGCTCCTGAAGCTCATTCCAGCTGTGGGGAATGCTGTGTGCACTGGGCTTGGCTGTTTTTGGAAAGTCCTTTAATTTTCTCTTTTCCACTTGGCAGCTCTTCTTAGTTCTGGGATATTTGCCACTGTGGTACTGCCAGTAAGAAATCTGGCCTGTTTCTGCTCCATTTCTTTGTTCCTAAGGTCAGTTTTGTGGTAATTTGGTTTCATTTTGCCTGTTTAGGAAAATAACTGTGGTTTGCTTCATTTTACACCAGAGAAAGCTTTTATATGCTATGGTCACTGATGATACTTCAGTAAAAAGCCTTTAAAAATTGATAATCAGCTATTCAGAAGGTAGAATGTAGTTAATGTTCAGTATTTTTTAAAAATTGTATTTTCTGGTAGTCATTGCAGCTGTCATTCAAGCTAGAAGTGTCAGGACACTAAGAGGCAGGTGCACGAGAACTTTTCTGTATGGCGTGCAAAAGACAAGCTGACTAATTCATGCGGGCAGCATATTTGACATTAATAAATGGCCAAGCCGTTCCTACTTCCAAAGGGTTGGCTTCTTTCAAGCAGTTCTTACACTGAAACCTTTCTTCAGAAGAGCTTTTCTAGGATAACAAATAGGGTTGGATCAAAACCTTTCAGGGACACAGAGAGAGACTAACAGTTTCTACTCTGTTGAAAGAGTTCTTCCCCCTTGTTTCTTTTTATTTTCTCTCAAAAAATTTTTTCTTTACCTTGCCTTGAGAGCATTTTCTGCTTTTTAAAAACTGTACCTTGCCCTCAATCATTTCTAAAGTACCTATTTTTTTTTTTAAATGCATGTATAAAGTTTAATTCTTGGGAAAGAGACTGAAATATTTCCCTTATTTTCCCTGGCATCCAGGAGATACAGAAAAATCTTTGTCTGGTTTCAGAAGCCTTTAGTTCTCATTGTAATGAATTGTCCATCAAAGCATTTGGTCACTACTTTCATTTCAACATCAGAGAAAAGTCTGCTGATGTGGGAATTTAAGAGTCAAAACAATACTAGTTTTCAGTTTTTATTCTTTGTCAACTAACAAGTTATATAATGCAAGGTTTATGGGCTTTCCAGATGATATTCTTACTATTTATTTTAGGATACTGTTGATTTTAGGGTATTTTCCTTGAAATCTTTTTACTTGTTTAAAAATCTTTAAAATTCTTTGCCACTGCATTTTGTATTAATTCTTTGGTTGAATCACATTTTTGTAAAAAAAACAATTACCAAAAAAACAGATGTCTCTTCTGCAAGTATATTTTAGTCTTCTGTACATGATTTTTTTTTCTATGTAAATTTCATGACAGATGGCAACCATAATTAAAAGTAGCCTAATTATAATATGCTGAAATTTACTTTTAAATTGAAAAAGAATTAGAACATCAAATAAACCTTACTTAAAGCATCCCTCTAATTAATAGATGCTTTTGACAGACCAGGAAAGAGAGCCAAAGAGAGATGGGGTGGTTTTTATTTTGTTTTTGTTACTTTAATTACATAGAGTCAATGGTGAAAACAAAGGAAAATTAAGGATCTTTCTTAAAGGTTCTGTATAGTCAAGAGATTATCCAGAGGAGGCAATGTCTAGTCTAGCATACTAGTATTCGCAAAGGCACTTCAAATCCTTAGTCCAATCCCACTATTTGTAGGTAGATGGCATTGTTGCACAGAGAGAAATAACTTGTATAAGGTGTCACAACTCTGGCAGCACTAGGCCACCTTGAATGCAGGTTGGTTTGTTATCATTTTATTGGTGTAGGTTAACCTTTAGATTAAAAAAGTAAAACCTCACCTGTTTAAGCAAAAGAGAGAATTTATTGGAACTGTAGGAATAGCTTTGGGACTTGGGTAATTAGGAATCACGAAGGAATGGAATTGGGATCTTGAAAGTCATTAAAAGTCAAGCCTGCTATTTCTCTTTCATTTGGAACAGAGGTCACCAGTTTTCAGCCGGTGGGGGAGATTTGCTCCTCAGATGTTTAGTTTGGCTAGCAGTCTAAAGTGTGCATGTGCATCAGAATTACCTGGAAGGCTCCCTAAAGCAGTGATTGATAAGCCCTACCCCAGAGTTTGTAATGAATAAGTTTTAGGGTGGGTCTTCGGAAGTTGCATTTCTAACAGTTCCCCAGGTGATGCTGAGTGTTGGGTCACATGTTGAAAACTATATTTGAAAGAATTCTGAATTTCAATTTCTTCGAACAGGGCATGTCCCTTCAGTTCACCTCACTCCTGTTGTTTTGTCTGATCCCATTTGAGTATGGGAACTCTGCCCATCATTTCTCTTCCCATGGCTTTTCCGGTCTCTCTGCAGACCAATTTCCTCTTCTTTGCTTGCGCAGAGCCTATGGTGACTTACCAAAATGATGTCCTCAGGTCCTGGAGGCTACGCCACAAGTCTCAGATGGTTAGGGAGGGGCACGGTCATAAAAATACGGTATCAAGAGACTCTATTTGGGATGAAAGGGAAGAAGTTCAGTCAACTCAGTATGTATCTAACACACAGCGTTTCTGCGAACACAGGCATCCAACAAAACGCCAATAACTTGTGCAGTAGAAAGATCCTCCATAGGTAAGCAAGTTTGGAAAATAATGTGTTAAAATTAAATAGTTGGGTTTTTTAAATCTGTAAATATGCATTGTAATTCTCTGAAATGGTAATTAAGAATGCAACTTCTCCTACTTTTTATTTACTTATGTGCCCCAGACATGAAACAGTTCTTTCTGCCCCCCTCATTCCCCCCTCCCCCTCCCCCCCAACTCGGTTGAGTACTGAATTGTTCAAGATGGGAGATATTTGAGACCTGAGGTTTGACTGTATCAATCTTAATAAAGTTTACATTCTCCTGGGAGAAAGATATGAAGTGTCAAATTATACACTGAGTTTATATAATTATAAGTGCTATGAAGAATGGAGGCTCTGAAGGCATTTACCAGGGAATCTGAGTTAGACTGTGGGATGGGAATAGGACTCCTTTTCTGAGATGTGATGTCTTAGCTGTTATCTAAATGATGAATGGGAGCTAACTAGGAAGAGAAGTGGAGAAAACAGCTTGTGGAAAAGCCCTGAGTATAGCATATTCAAGGAACTGAAAGAAGGCTACTGTAATAGGATTGAAGAAAGTGACATAAGTTTGGAAATGTGGCAGGAAAAAGCTCATTAAAGTAGACCATGGTCAGGAGTCATAAAGAATTGATGGTCCTTAATCAGGGGAGTGACATGAACAGATTTTTTAAAAACTAGAGGCCTAGTGCATGAACATTCATGCACCGGGGAGGGGGAGGGAAGTTCCTCAGCCTGGACTGCCCTATCTCACAACCCGGGAGCCCTTAGGGGTGGGAGGTGACCCAGCATTCAGGGGAAGTTGACACCCCCATCACACTTTTGCTGCTGCAACTGCCGGCAGCATGAGCCTTGTTGGCCCAGGTTACCTGAGTCTTAGGCGGCCCTGGGTGGCTGGGCAGCCGCCATCTGAGGCTTGCCTGTGCCTGGAGCTGGCCCTGGGTGGTTGGGGAGCTGAGAGGACTGGGAGACTCCGGAGGCAGGCATGCAGAGTGCCCAGACCCGCCTGGGGGCAGGCCCATCTGTGTTGTGCACCTACCATCCCGGTGGGGCTAAAGGGAGTCAGCACCACCATCTTGTGGCTGTAGGTACTTCCATTTTTGAGGGCATGGCAGTCAATTAGCATATTCCCTCCTTATTGGCTGTGGGAGCTGCCATCTTTGTGAAGGTGTGATGGCCAATTAGCATATTCCCTCTTTTATTATATAGGACTAGAGGCTTGATGCATTATATTCGTGCATGAGAGGGTGGGGGTGTTGTCCTTCAACTCGTCCCGTACCCTCTCCAATCTGGGACCCCTTGGGAGATGTCCGACTGCCAGTTTAGGCCTGATCCCTCTCACAATCCAGGACCACTGGCTCCTAACTGCTCACCTGCCTGCCTTCCTGATTACCCCTAACGGCTTCTGCCTGCCAGCCTGATTGTTCCCTAACCACTCCCCTGCTGGCCTGATTGCTCCAACTTCCCTCCCCTCCCAGCCTGATTGCCCCCAACTGCCCTCCCTGGTTGGCCTGATCTCCACAACTGCCCTCTCCTGCTGCGACCCTCCTCCACTGGGACCTCCTCCTCCGTACGAGGCAGTGGAGATGCCAGGACCGGCCTCCTCTACACCACTCAGAGCTGTGGGACCCCTAGGCCTCACTGTGCAGAGCAGCCGCTGGGCCCTACCTCTGCTGTGTGCACAGCATCTGTGGTGGCCAGATAGATATTTACTTGCTGTAGTAGACAGTTGAACAGGGAAAAAGGAATGGAGGATGTTTTATAACATACATGAAATACTAGTTTGAAAAAAATAAGCTCAGACACCTGAATTTATTATCATCCTTGGCTCATAAGTACATTATTGGACCAACTGTAGCTCACCAGCTATGTGGAGGCAGAGAGTCAGGTGTTTTGATCACCAAGATGTTTGCATCTGTTACTAAATTTCCTGTGTGGCTTTGGGAAGTGGTTTTAACCACTTCTCTTTGTTTTATAACCCCTGAAATCTGACATAAATAGCAAAAGAAAGGTTTATAGAAAACAAGCAATCAATAACTCCATGATTATTAAACTCCAAATGAAACTTTTGCTCAGGTGATATTTGGATGCTATGACACTGAAGGCAGACAATAAGTACACTTGAATGAGTGCAATTTAGCAAAGTATCTAGATGGTTTAGTAAATGGCTTCTTTCTTTCACCAACAAAGGCCCATGAATTACTCTTGTTCCTTTCTAGTTGACAGAGACAGTTTATATGTTACCCTGATGTCAGTTCATTGGGTCAATCTATCTACCTTTAGAATGCACGGTACAACATAAACTAGTAAAATATTTATCTGCTTTGTATTGAAGGCACTCATGGGCAGACTTCCACCATCTCTTTTGTCTCCTTTTCTGAGGTCACAAAACCCTCACCTTCAGGAGTTTACTCTTTAAGA